TGTGGAAGTTGGAGCAAGCAGGCTTCATTTTCACCGAAATGGCCTCCTCTGCCCTGAAAAGCGACCATGTTATTAAAGACAGCACTATTTCTTTAGAGGTATGGAGATAACGACTGGGAAGAATCCGGCCCTGGGCCTCTCAAACTAACGGGATGGTACCATAGAACCACAGAATCGTTAAGGTTGGAGAGGACCTCCGAGATCACCGAGTCCAACCTGTTAGCCTAACTGCCTGGTCCGCCTCTAAACCGTGGCCCTAAGCACCACAGCCACACGTTTTTTAAATACTTCCAGGGACTGGGATTGCACCACTTCCCTGGGGAGCCTGTTCCAGTGCCTGACCACTCTCCGAGGGAAGAAATTTTTCCTAATATCCAACCTAAACCTCCCCTGGCGCAGCTTGAGGCCGTTTCCTCTCGTCCTATCACTCGTTACCTGGGAGAAGAGACCGACCCCCACCTCGCTACAGCCTCCTGTCAGGCAGTTGTAGAGAGCAATAAGGTCTCCCCTCAGCCTCCTCCAAACTAAACACCCCCAGCTCCCTCAGCCGCCCCTAAGACTTGTGCTCCAGACCCCTTCACCAGCCTCGTTGCCCTTCTTTGGACACGCTCGAAATCTTGAATCTTTATTAATAAAACACTACCTCGCTTTATCTTCAGTAATACCAAAGTTTTATCAGTGCAGTTTCCTTTTAATACACAGAAATACAGGACCTCAGCTTTTCAAAGGGGAAAGATATGGCCACCAGAAAAAATACCTGAAGAATTATGTTGCAGGGATACGAGCTCTTTGTCAAACAATAAATCTTATGACTGTCTTTGTTTCCTCTTAGCTTAATTTGCACTTTAAAGCTTCCTGTCAGGGTACTATGGTAAACCTCCACCACGTATAAATGCTACGCAATCAAATAATCAAAAAACCATACAACGTACCAGTCCATACCTTATTCAAAGTCTTCCACACTAATTATATCTAAAACCCATATCAAGTCCTTACATCGCCTCAGCTGCGGGCTGTGCAACCAGTAAACATTTTAGTAGAAATGTAAACAAATCTCAAGAGTGGTCTTGCTGATTTCGGCAGGTGATCTGTACTTCAGAAGTTGCATGCTTTGATCCTGTAAGAAAGTGACTTAGAAGGTTACGCTAAAAACCTGATTTATTTAAAAAAAGAGTAAGGACAATGAATGCAATTTAATTCTATAGGAATGTGGTAAATAAGTAAGTTGTGTATACACACGCACACGCAGAGGTGAGCTTTGGAAGTTACTCTAAATCTTAGGAAGAACTGCCATGAAGTCAAAACTCATAGAGCACAGTGAACAAGAAAACCAGCACCTAACCCCAGCACCAAACGTGGGAAATAGTCACCCTGTAAAGAGCTGTACAACACGCTTTAGAATTGGTATTGCTGACATACAAAGGAATAACTCATTTGAAGTACCCTATTTTTTAAAACATCTTTTTCTTCATAGTTCATTTTACTGACAGTCAAACTAATTTAGCAACACCACCGTTCACCAGCGTTTTCCTTTACAATGTCGTATTTCAGGAATACATGAGCCAAAACCTGAGTACGATCTGTGTGGGCTAACACATCCTAATTCTGTAGTGTTTACCACATCATCCACATAGAAGCTTTACTTCATACGTCTGTAGGATCTGTGAAAGAAGATCCTTAGATTCTACCAGAGCAGAAGCAACTCCGCTCCTGTGCTGAGCAGGGCCATGCGTACAGGCCAATATGCTGTAAAAATCTTGTTCAAACTACAAAGCTGAGGGAACTCTTCAGAGGAGCAAAGTAGACCTGTATCGCCTATTTACATTAAAGTCCATGAAAAATAAGCCGACCAGAGCAGCTTAATAAATACGTTCTTAGTTCATGTTTTTTCATATTTGTTTACTTACCACATTAGTCACCATGAATTTGCTTTTTACAGATTCAGTAGTTGATAAATAAAGCAGATTTTTAGTCAATATTATAAATTAGACCCAACAAATTCAACAGTTCATTCTTATGTACTTCTAGTCCATACAAATTCCCGCTTTACCAATAAGCAGGAAATTCTGTCCTTATTTCAGCATGTCAGATTATTCCTGATGTTCGTGCTCCTGTCCCGGGATCAGCCACCGAATGCTCTCCGTTCGAACGGTAGCGTACATGACAAAGCTAGCCAGGAAGAGCAAAGAAAACAGAAGCAGCCAGTCTATGCCTTTTGTGAGAACACTGGGCAGGGGGCCTTCCCAGTCTTCCTCGGTCACAGCCACGTCGCTTTTAGCTTCTATACCTGAAAAAGCAAGCACTTGATCAACACCAGTAACAATCATTAAATACAGAGAAGTTGGCTGTATTTGGAGCTTTGTTCCTCTTCCCAGACTAAGGTGTACATACCGTTAGACTTAAAATTTTGGTGAGACAGTCCTTGTATTTTAACATATGTCTAGCACCTAGTTTACTTATGTAAAAACTCAAGGCTATTGATGTGTATGTATATTTTCATAACAGGAGAGGGCTCGTTCTGTCCTTCCCCAGGACAGCCTTGTGCAAGTTTGTGGGGTTTTTGTTTTTGGAGGTTTTGAGTGTTTCTGCTGTATTAGCAAATATAACAATTCCTGGCCTCCAACGAAGGCCCTCGTAGGCCTATACATGTTTTTTGTTTTGTTTTGCTTTACAGAAGTACAGAGGGACCAGAGAGCTGGCTGGTGCTGAGCTTCCAACGTGGACAGCCAGATCACAGAAACAGGAATCCTTTTGTCTCCTCCAGCACAAGAACCGAAAACGTCTTATCCCCCAGCTGCTGTCAGCCTTACATGGCTCTGGCAATGGTCCCAAGGTTCATCTGCCTTTATTGCCAAATTAAATATTTGGGCAGAAAGACGTGCTCCACCCTTCTAGCACCCTCTCTAGCTAAAACCCACTGTTTCCCCCTGCTCTGTGACAGCAGCCAAGTAAGTTGAGTCTCTGCTTTCAGCACACCCTGAAATGAAGCTCACGACAGCAACTGATGATAGAAACCTCTGCCGGGTCCTCCCAGGGTCTTCATGAAATTCATTTTGAAGAACAAACAACAAGGAGAGGAAAGCCTAGTTTGGAGCTAAAAGCCAGCCTGTTCTTCCTACTGACACATCAGGGCTGCTTTACATACCTGTTTGATTAAAAATGAAGTCTTTCAGTGTTTCCAGCGTTCTGTCTGTATGATTAAATCTAGCCATAGGTTTAGCGCCTTGGAAAAGGAGGATATTGGGTACAGCCACAGTTCCAAATCTAGTTGACAAACTGGTGGACAGAAAGTAAATACAAAGCATGAAGAAAAAGAAATCCACTGGAGGAAGGAACAAAGATAGTCATGATACAGGAAGCGTCAGTTTCACTAAATTAAAATGTCACTTTATAAGGGGGAAAAAAAAAATCACTCCTGTTTTTAAAACACACAACTTCCTAACAGAAAAAAGCTGATGGTAGAGCACTGGAAATGTAAGTTACCTGCTGTGCTGAGATGCATCCAGCGCCAGGAAGCGAAGAGTTGGAAACGCTCGAGGTAAAGAATTAAAATGAGGTGCCAGACTGGCCGAAAAGCGGCACCACGGCGTATAGAACAAGACTAACGTACAGTCACTGCTGTTTGGGTTTAAGAACTCCATCAGGTCCTTCGAGAAAGCAGAAGAAAAACAAACACAGACAATTACATATTTAACAGAGTTAAATTCTACATAGGAATGCATCATTCAGCAATCGATTAGATGCTTGACAATATTTATCACGTAGCTGCACATTTGTTTAACCTTTTTAAAACAGATGGAGAAGTGTATTTAACCTTTTTTAAAGTTATTTTAAAAGTTTATTACTTAAAAAAATATATATACATGGCCATTACAAGAAACAAGCTAGAAATAGGCACTGGTATTGGCAGTAAGTGCCACTAACAATTTTAGAGAGAGACACTAATCCATGCAGCACAAAAGCTGACAGTTCACTGCAGGCACACAGATGAGAGACACAGGCATTAGGACTGAGCTGTATCTCCATTTTTTTCTCCTCAGAATGACATGAAAAGTCTCCCTGCTCAGAGGTTTCCTCTTTTCAATAGAGCAGAGGATGTTACACAAGGAAATCCCCTAAGTCAAACATTGAAAGAAAAGGCAGGTGCTGACGGGGCATCTTTTGCCAATTCTCACACGTTCAGAGCATCACCAAGCAGTGAACCGGGCGAGCCGCTTACCTGGGACACGTTCAGGATCTGCAGCGTGAAGCGGTCGATGCCGGTGATGTTTCTTTCCTCGCAGTTCACTTTGGGAGCTTTGGCGCCGTCGGTGCTGTTCGACTCCTCAGCGGGCGCGGGCAGCACCGTCTCCAGCACGGCCTGCTCCCGGCCCCGGCCTCCCGCCTGGCCGGGGGGAGCCGCCGGGCCGCTCCCCGCGCCACACACATCGCCTCCC